ATCATCCAAACCGATAAGCTCGGAGCCTTTGTTCCAATCACGTGTTTGCATTACACTTTGCGTCCACTTACCAAATTAAGTTGTTGACTTATCAAGTGGAAAATACTTACTGATCACTGGCGAGGTTAATCAAAAGTCCATACTTATAACAAACGATTCTGTATTGCATTTTTAAATTTGTAAATGATTTTGTGATATAGTAATTCTTTATTTGCCAGTAATGGAAGCGTGACAATTTTCTTGAAGCTCCTAATATTTTCGGTATCCTTCCCAAAAATGTATTTTCAGTGCCAGAAACATGTTTTTCTCTCGTTCAAGGCTCCGAACGAGCTGCTTGTTATCACGTGGGAATAACCTTCGAAAGGTTTCCAATGCGGCATCTTGTCACGAGTGAGTTTATCTTCAGTGAGAAAGAAATTATACACGTGAATTAAGGACAGAACCAAGAAGGTATCAATTATTTAGATTGCTTGTTGCTCATGAAAAGTTATCGAGCATGAAGCCACTCATTTGGTAATTTTTGACCGACTCAACTGCACGAAGTATTGTTTTAGTGCTTTTGTGTGATAGAGATTTCCAAACTGGTAGATATTTTGAACGAGAACTTTAAAGTGCTACTGATCACAAATGAGGATAAAGCTGTCGGCGTTGGTCAATCCCTGAGGCATGCGCTGTGCATTCGACCTCATTGGGCATCGTTGGAGGTGATTACGTGCATATGTGGCTTTTACACTGGCTCGCAGTGGCCTAACGATGTATCGAGCAAGTGCTGCTATCCTCCCAGACAAGTCTGATACCAATTTGCCAACCCCGGAAGGATGAAAGGCTTGGTGAGCTATAGGGGATCAATCATCCCATGTGTATTGCAGGGGCGCCTCCGACCACTGCGCCGCACACGCTTACTAATTACTAAGTCAAAATAACAGCCATAAAACTTAGGTGTTTTTGCCAACCCCGATGCAGGTTTATTTATTTCGGTACCTTAAATTTTTAAAGCTCTGAGAGTGACGTGTTTTTGAACGCATTTTAAGTATGTAGTCGTTCATTGGTAAGCTAACATGAGGCTGATAAAAATGTTTATTTGGCTGACGTTTTGGCGTCTCCACCTTCTTCAGTACCACATTGGTTCATTGAAGCACTACCCGATTGAAGTAACCTCACTCAGCAGTGTTCTTTTAGAGAGGACGGTTTTTGATGGTGATTATCTTTTGATAATCTTTTTCTTCAACAGGCAATCCATCGTGCAGTAGTCGATGTCATTATCAGTTAGCACAGAGCGTAATAAGAGCAGTTTTCTAAAGGATTTGAAGTAGTTCGGTGAAGAATTTTTCTTGGAGCTTTATTCGAGAAGTTTAGAAAAATTATTCTCTGTCTTTCTTGTTGCGCAAACATGAGGTTGGTATTACAGCATGTATTAATACAAGAATAGCTGGCCTTTCGGCGGTTTCTTCTTGTTCAAAGCCTGGAAAGGTAAAATTGGCATGCAATGACCTCAGCCAAACACGTTCGTAACTTAAACAAACAAAATTTAAGACATAAATTTCCGTCTGCATAATAAACAGCTTCTTTAAACAACTACTACTTTGCTCTTTCTATGTCTTCTAGAGGTCAGAGAATCGGCCTGAGGTATGATGCAGGGTCACGCGTGACCACAAGACACTCCTCCTTGCAGTTCATTTTCGGATTTTAGGAATTAATCCAGAAGAGAGAAGAGCTTCAAGAGTTTTTCGCGCTTATGCTCTGGATTACTGCGCGAGGATAGTGAATTTTGTTGCAAAATCTTCTACGTTATGCTTCTGAATCCTATGCGCGCTCAGTGGAATGTTTGGCTTCAATCTAAATTTACCGACTAGGCACTTTTTTATACGGACGCAGTGGTCTACTCGTTTCGCCGACATCCCGTTCGTCCCATATAGACGGTCATATAGGTGGTTACGAATAGTATCGTCGAGTGTGCGGTGGTATTTCAATCACTGTTATCAAATTCTCTAGACCGACCCTTCTTAAGCAGCGTTTTATAGCTGCACTCATTTCGTTGAGAATGAAGGGCAGAATAAACGAGCCTTTATTATCGCTAGAGTTGTCGTTTGCGGACTTGGGTTTTCCTCTGCAGCTGTCCCAAGGAGCTACAGTTCCGCATTCATTGGAAATGGCTATTTGCCGCGCCATTTCCCGGGATTCTTCCTGCTCTCTTCCTGTGCACATGCTGGTGGCTCTTCGAAACGTATTTCGTATAAGCTCTCTTTTGGTGAGTGGGTGGTGAGAAGAGAAGTATTAAACCAGTATATTTTTGTTACCTCACTTTCGATACCACTTCGTGATGTAGCCGTTTTCGAATAGCTTGATTTAACGTTAAGAAATTGGAACTGTTTTCTTTCGGTTTCGCTTGGGTGAATATTGTGGACTCTGACTGACCTAAAGCATTTATCCATCTCCAATAGTAGTTCTGATCAACAACAATTTGGATGTGTACACTAGATGAGGGACGGTTTCGTATCCTAAGTCGTTCAATTTCTGCAAGTTGTGGTCGAGTCTTTTGTGTTAGAACATTGAAGTTCTTCTTTTGATAAATGCTGGTACGTATGCTGCATTTTGAGGCCTTTCATTAACTCCTTAAGAGTAGTCTTTTGCTGTGATAATTTTGTCAAGAATCAGAAGTTTACAGAGGATTATTGCAGTTGCAAACCGCAGGAGAATCACTGTAACATTTTTTTGGTTCAGATTTACCGTTAGAGATGTTGTACCCAATCATCGTGCTGAACGTGATCGGTTATCGTATAGGATCCATTTTTCATCCCATATCACAGTGCAGTCGTTTTTATTGCATAAAAGGAAGAGCAGACTTCATAGTGATCTCCTTTGCTGCTTTCTGTGGCATCAATTTATCAGCTTAAGAGTCTCCTCCTAACGATAACCTGCTCAACACTGGAGACTCCAACCTTTCAAATATGTTTATAAGGTCAGGTTCGATAATTGCGTTCAGGTGATAGCGATGAACCTCCGGGCGCCGCCGACGTCCGTCATCCAAATCATGTAAATATTGTGCGTCCATAAGTGTTTTCGTGATCATACGCTTTAGCAATAAGTTTAATTACAGTGAGAATCTTTTCGATATAACCCTTTTCGGCGGCTAACGCGATTCAGCAATCACCCATGAACGGGATTGATCTGAGGAGCATGTATACTATATTTCACACCATATCATGCCTTGAAAAAGAATAGGCAGTAAATAAAAAGTGACGACATAGTAAATTTAATTTTCTTCCGCAACAGTACAGCAAAAATTGGACTCACGAAGTGAAACAGTACGACATTTATTCCTCTGAGAGTAATAGTTCAACAAGCATGAAATCACTGAATTATTGATCAGTGCCAGGTTAACGGAAAGTCCGTCTTGGTAATTACTGTAGATTAATTCTGAAAATAGCCGTCATTTAACCAGATTGCGCAGACTGTGTAAAAATGCTTCTATAGTAGATTGGTAACGTTGTCGGTTTTTCGATATTCGGCTGATAATTTTTTCGAAAACTAAAGTGCTTAAGGACTTTATCAGTTGCCAAACATAGGAGTTCGCCCTGTCGTACAAAACACGTGGACAGGTTTATCTAAAATAGCTCTCATCTGTGTTAAGTTTGGATATATTAGTGAAAAAATGTGAATTTTTAAACACCAGCGCAGAAGCCTCCAGCGTCAGCTTATTGGGGAGTCTATTTGTGTCCCGTTGGAAAATCGCACGTGATCGATCGCTACATGGAGCTACAGCGAAAGAAAATGCAGGAAAAGAATTTGTTTGCTTCAAGAAATTGAAGCTTTTTAAATTAATGGACTTGCTGCTTATTGGTGAGAACGTATAAGTTTTAATGACTTTAACTTTTTATCTACTGCCTATTTTTTTTCGGTAGGATACGGTGTGAAATACAAAACCATTCCCGTTGACGCGAGATTCCTGATGGCACCATTGGGGTAAAAGGAAAGCCTGAAAGAAAGGCATAGCAATTCTTAGTCTTAAAAGTAAATGCTGGTTAGCGAGATGCAAGGTATTGTCTTATTGGAAAAAGTTGGACTGTTTCTCATACCGAACTCGTTCTCCTCCTACGCATTTCACAGAGGTGTTATTTTAAGTCTTGGGTTTACAGAGTTTGTTTTTGGCGGTATGTTTCCGTAGTAGATCATCCACCGGTCCGTTTCTTATATGGATATCAATTTCTCAGTTTCTCTGTAGCTGCGCAGTTATGGTACTTCATTCTGACCATGCGTTGAACACTGAAGACACACTGAATTTGAACGAACATTGAACACTGAAGACGTGTTTCTGCTTTGCGTTGTATCCATAATGTCTTAAAATCCACAAGTTTTGCTTCCTTTACCGTTGACTTTTGCAGAAACTTGCGTATTTGAAGCATTTATCTTCCGATCACTTTTCGTAACAGTAGTCCTAGTCATATATATTTCTTTTTCGTTTGCTTAATGAAAAAACGTCTCATAGATTTTCGAAATGCACTTTGCATTCTTTTGAAACCTTAGGGTTACTTTGATAATGCATGTAGAAGTCCTCACGACGCTTACTCGCCGCTCTTTATGGATCGATTGGAACTTTTTCTAGACATGTCTGGTACCAGTTTATCTGTTGTTTAACGATGGATTTCGGTTAGCCCAGGGTGGGGATTGAACTAGAAACAATGCCTGTACTGCGCTTCTAAGCACTACGATTCCCGCGTCCGTGATTGTTTATTGCAAGAAATAACAAAAACAATCCTTCGTTTTCTTTCAAGTGTCCAGGGAGTTCTGCATGTTTTTGTTTTTCGAAGATTTTCACTACTTTTAAGCTCTATTAATTCCATCATTTCCTCTTTCCTTTATTGTTCTTAATATCAGAGCCGTAAGATCCAAAGTTTACTGCTGAATTGCGCAAGATGACCGGTGCCTTTCACCCAACTAGAAACGCAGTTGTATAGCTTGTGGATGAGATTAGATACTGTATATTAGTTATTTTGGTAGAAATGCTTCAAATGTTCAGATCGCCGCAGGAATTCGACATCGTCGTTGCCGGTGGTGGTATTGTCGGCAGTGCTACAGCTCGGCAATTGAAGATAGAATATCCAAATTTGAAAGTATGCGTGGTAGAGAAAGAAAAAAAATTGGGTGAGTTGCCTTGTTAACACACCTGCATGGAGTTTTATGTACTGACATGTTATCATGATCATTAAATTAAGTTGTAGTTCCAGTTAACTCGTTTTTCAGAAATACCTCTATTAATTTCGACGACAGCCATAACTTTTTTCCGTCTTTTTTTTGCAGTTCATGAAAGGAACCACTAGTACATTGTGGATGAAATGAGTTGTATAGGACTCAGACATAAGCCGGAAATAATTTGGCACTTTAACATTAACGCATAACGCTGGAGATGCATTGTATGTCATGCATGCTTGCATGGGCCAAGGAACTGGAAGAAGTGTGTTGTGTCTAATACATTCCTTTCAGTAGTTAGTGCCACAGAGCGTTTCTACAATACTTTTTGTGTTCATTCAGTACCTTGTTCAGCACAGATTTTCTCATACACATGGTGCACGAACACCTGTTTTCTTCAAGTAGTAATTTACGAAAAAGATTTCTTCGCAGGAATTTATTGACGGTTATTTTTAAGGTCAAATGCCTTTTATTTCTCTTCCACTCCCTATGATGGATTGTGGTTATTATATAGAATGACTAGTTATGAAAAATGCAAATATAGCCGCAAAATAAACTGCAAGGTAGTTCAAAATGTTGGCAACAATCTTAACCTTTTTATTTACTGCCTATTCTTTTTAAAGGCAGGGTATGTTGCGAAATATAACTTCTATAGTGCTGAAATATTTGCGAAACTCCGGACCGCAGGTGTCTACGGTGGGGAACGAACGCGCTACTGTCCTTTCCGGTGAGTAACGCGTTCACCACCACACCATGCGAGTCCTTCGTTTCGCCTGTCTGTCCCAGCTAGTTCTATCGATCTTTTGCCATCAGCACTCACCCGTCAACGGGATTGATCTGGGAGCCCAGATACTTTCGGTCCAGAGTTTTGCAAATATTTCAGCATTATAGAAGTTATATTTCGCAACATACCCTGCCGTTAAAAAGAATAGGCAGTAAATAAAAAGGTTACGATTGTGATTATAACTATAGCCTCAGCTTAAGTGGGTTCAATTTCCGGAAGGCCTACTATCACCAATGAGCGCAGGGTGCTCCCAATAAAGAATACCATAATGAAATTTACCATAACAGACTAGTCGCTCAATCCAATCGATGTTTATATTGTTTCAAAATTTTAAACGTGGGCAAAGCATCGTCTTCTTCATACGAGATTTTTATGGAGACGGGAGAACGCCGCAAATCCAGGAGGCGAAATCCTAAAATCACTGTGGTTCGGGATTTATTTAGATCACTAGTTCACTCTTGGGAAGATACCGTTATCAACAACACCGATGAGGAACTCGGTCGACTTACTCAACATCTTTACTTCACTGCTGTAGTAGTCAAGACAAAGTCACCAGGAGATGTATATCTCTGGGAACACTTGAGCTGACATGCCAATGTGGAATCATATGAATTACACCTGAACGTGGAAACGGGTCAGTTGCGGCTTCCAAGGAAGCAATAGAGGAAATTATCCATGAGAACTTCTGTTTTCTTCACCGACTAAATCCTGCCGCTTCCATGTAAAATTAAGTAGGGGGCATATGTCATCCCACCTATCCTGTCTTTCGAAATTGATAAATTGTTTTGTCGATGAAGAATCCAGCAACACATGATCCGGCCAAAGTTGTACCCAAACATCGTAACAACTTCCCGCCAATCCTCTTCAACAGGCTGGCTCAGTCCTTCAAATTTACATACTCAAAAAGTAAGGACGGTTTTCAATCGAGGACCATCACGATTATATTGCTATACAAAAGCAAACTTCCAGTACATCGGCAGCTATTGTCGAATCTGCTCACTGTCTATCATTTATGAAAACTTTGCTCGAGTCATCGTCAACAGGACTGGGAGGACACTAGACGAAATACAACCAATTGAGAAACCAGAGTTTCGAGAACAGTTGGATATTACAGATCACGTCAGCACAATAACGAGACTATTTGAAACAGCGAGAAAAGAGACCACTCTGCCTCGTCGACTTAAAGAAAGCTTTTGACTAATTGAGAGAGCTATCATGGAAGCTTTGGACAGTCAGGCTGTCTCTTCCAGTATATAAAAGTTCTGCATTAGCTATATGAAAACTTCACAATCAACATGTCACTATTCTATAGCGATGTTTACATCTGCTTAAGGAAATAGGTTTAACAAGTCGATGCCGTTTCGCCAAAATTACTTGCAGCCACTCTCGAGAACGTGATGTGAAAATTAGAATGGGATAATATGAGAGTGAAAGTTAATGTTCGTTGATTACACCGTCGTCACTCTGCTGCTGGTATCTCCATGTAACTTTGTAATTTCAAGCATTAGCCATGTGGAAGGAATGTTGGCCGACTTCTCTAAGGCTTTTGGGAAAATTGGTCCTCGTCTAAACCTCAAGAGGACGATTTATGAGGAACGGATTTGCTTCTCACGCCCCGCTCAAGCTGACTAGAATGAATACCTCCAAATGTTCTAGATACGTCTATCTAGGTCTTGAAATCAACATTATGAGTGACTTAGCTCCAGTACTGGGTAGGTAGAAGCGAGATGTCTAGGGAGCGTTCAAGAGCATTCGTAGAGGAACAAATAACACCCGACTCCGTGCCCATTTTCTCCACTCCACGATTCTTCCTGCCTTGACGCATCTGTCAGAACCTTAGTCGCTACACAAGCATGATGAATGATCACTCACTGTTATCGAAGCATAGTCGATAGAATGATGCTGGTGGTATCCCGATCACGTGGATGAGAGAAGGAATCCAATGTTCCGACCTACATCAACGATTAGAAATGGAAGACGACCTTCTGCAGTCCCATTTCATGTGAGGCTAACGCGTAATTCGTCTTTATTGCAACCGATGGACAGGAACAGTTTACGACTTAGTTCCTCAGATGTCAAATGCACTGCGGGAAAACGACTGACCCGATGATGAGAAGTCTTCACAAAACCATTGGAAAGGTATGATTCTCGACGAGTCTGCGATATTTTTACACGTGCCAAGAACAGATAGGAACTTCAATGGTGCCCACTTGAGTCACTGGCCAACGACCATGACAAGTGAGACATATGGTAATATGCATAAGGTAAAGTTTCTTTTATAATATTATCATGCTTGCAACCCCTAAAGTTCTGTAGTTGTCAGAAATTTGTCATTCATGTTATAAAAATTATCAAGCTATGGACTAAAATTCATAAAATTATGGAAATATGGGTAACGCCGAGCGGTATGTGTTAAACAAACATTTCTTCGCTCATAATAGCTATTATGCTTTGAAACGAAACCATTAGATGTACCACAAAATGGTACAAATTTTCCTATTGTGCCAAATAAAACTTCATTTTTTTAGTGCCGAAAGAACATTCTTTTTTGGTTCTTTTTCTTAATCGGAACTCGAGTTGTAGGTAGCAAAGCGAAAACTAAGTTTACTACATCTGTGATTTACATGCTGTGATGTCCCTGAATTCACCGTTGATATTTGCAACTGATGCGATTGCGTTGAAAATTTTGAACGTTTGGATTTTGCATTCGATTTTTTGGATTTTTAAATAGTTAGCAATTTTAGAGCGAGAATAATGTTTAAGTAACGTTTTTACTCGATTTTTTAAAAAATTATTTTCTTAGAGCATAAAACGAGTTAGTTCTCTAGGTCTTTCGAGTCCTCAGGTCCAGAAGTGCTATAGCTGTCGAAAAATCATGGGCACTAATCAGAAAACAACTACGGTACGAGTTAGGAAGGGAAGGTTGAAAGAGGAAGGATATGAAGTTCGAGCTGGGAGATACCTATAAAGCTGAAAAGCAGCGTAGTTACAAACGGAATTTGAATTGTAGGCCATTTTACTAATTTCAGCTGCTCATCAGTCTGGTAAAAATAGCGGTGTAATCCACGCTGGAATTTACTACACACCAGGGACCTTGAAGGCGAAACTCTGTGTTGAAGGTAGCTTTCGTCTTGTTATTTTCCTTAAAAAAAATAATAAGCACTTTTTAAATAAGGAATGGACCTCGCTTATAAATTTTTTGCGGAGACTAAGTTTCCGCATAAGAAAACGGGGAAGTTAATCGTAGCAGTTGAACCGCACGAGATTCCTCAACTAGATGTAAGTATTTATTGCTTGATCGTCACTCGATAATGTTTCAGTGAGATCATGTACTTGGTATTATCGATTCTCCTTCAGGTTTTATATGAAAGGTCTCAAAAGAATGGCTGCAAAGATATTCAAATAATTGAAGGCCCACGAATCAAAGAATATGAGCCGCACTGTAAGGTGATTCGTTGTTGCTCATTGTAGCACATGTCTTTTTCTGAATAGTTGTTTTTCAGTTTGTATAAGCTAGAATCGTGGGAATTACCGCTATTCTCGACTGATTAAATTTATAGAAGGATGAATATCTCATCTTCTTCGTTACTTACAATTTTGCTACCTATGAAGTGTGTTTCTGATTGTTTTCTGATTTCTGGTGAAGTACTACTTTCAGGGTCTTAAAGCACTATGGTCGCCGCACACAGGGATCGTGGATTGGGGAGAGGTGGCGAAAGCTTTCGCTGCAGATTTTGAAAAAAGGGGCGGAACTGTTAGTTTGATGGAATATCATAGGTTTTTATGCTAAAATATTGATGACGGGCAAATATATGAATTGATCGATTGCAGGTTTATGTTAACTTTCCAGTCAAGAATATTTCGCAGTCGCTTAGTCCCTCGTTTCCTATTGCAGTCCATTCAACAAACGAATATGTGAGCTTTAAACTGTTGCTACCAATTATGCTTTTATCTAATCTTAACTAGTCTTAAATAATTGGACGATCTGTCATTAGTCATATGCGCCTCATCACAATTTCTATTAGACCCTTGGTACTTCAGTATTCTTCATCTCCGTTTATTACTTAATTCTCTGGCTCATGAGCAATCCAGCTGTTTTACCATTCTATACTACCGTTGGTGTCGGATACCGGATATTTGCCAAAAGTTTTAATTGCAAAGCTTCATGTCGTGTATTCTAGTTGTTTCAATGAACGTCATTTCCAAAATCCACGGCGTCGTTGTGGTTTCAAACCATCTCTAGCCAAATAGAGATGGTGCTTTGAAAACCCTTAAGTAGGCAGGCACTCCTTTAGTGTTCGCCGATTCATCGGTAGCTATCTTCTTTGAGAAGACCGAGTGTTACTTATGCCTCTCTCCGTTATCTGCTATGCTCCTCCATACGTGTTTTCCATGTTTATTAAACACCTTAGGTGCATCGTTGGCTCTCTGTCATCAAAACAGCGTACATCTAGATTTATTCTCGTAGCATATTGAGTTTTTAAAGTCTCCATTTGTTCTTGTCTTGTGACAGTGTTGTCCATTGAGTTCTACTCGTTCGAGAGCCACAACGAGCTGCACATATTCTTTTATGTTCTTCTAAAATCTTCTTTAAGATATAATTGGGTCGATAATCTGTCTGCCTGGTTTGCGCTTGACATCTTATGGAGTACCTTCTCTATCGTCTCTTTTTCATCCGTAGTCGTCAGGACACAGTTGTCGAGCCCACTTGGTTCTCGAGAACGTGGCCTAACGGTGGGATTTTGATCCCTGATTGTCGGTGTACGTCGGAACATCGCATTTCCTATCTCACCACCAATTATACGGAATGTTCATAGTGGTTCCCTTTCGATAAATAACGTTGAGCGGCATTTCGTTCTATCTAAGTAGCCGCAGGTTTCGTTCTACCTATCCACTGTTCAAATGACTTTCTTGAGAGCCTCCTTAAAAAGTTTCGGCGGAGTACTTTCGTATTGTCGAACTCTTTTTTTTGTCAGAACGGGCGGTACTTTCTTCAGATGTTCGAGTGATAATTTTGGATCTGGTGTTGCGCAACCTTCCATTGACGTGACAACATGTAAGGCTACGAAACGGCCAACCGCAAGGACGAAATATCCATCCTAACTCACCTGATCATGAGTAGCACTAAGAAGGCTTTTTTGTTTTCAACATCTTTTAGGGGAGTGTGTTACGCAGTGGTAGTGATCCCGTTCGTTACACAGATGACCCAACTTTTATTCAGGCACTGGTTTCATCCATCTTCGGCTCCACCTGATTAATGAAATAGGATCTTTATCACTTCGGTTCGGAGCTTCGAAAATTCGGATGTATACCTGTGATTATCAGTGTGCAATGCGATTTCATTGGAGGATCACTTCGAGCGCTTTGAAGACGGAATTCTCTTGATGCCTTTCAAACTCTCGATATTATCGTATATCGTCGTTATCGTAAACATTTATATGTTGATCGTATTCATCATGATTGTAAATGAAAGCGTTATCTTCTCGAAACATAGCAAATGATCTGGACAAACTCAATTTTACAAGTTTTGCCATTTCTTTTCTCTCTTATTTGTGGGTACGAGGAACCTTACCCCAAAGAGGCGATTGTCGAAGTCCTTTCCATGGGAGGTACTCCGACATCCAACGTTTGAAGAAAGGCCTATGGACTCGTATGTTACAACGATTTTTTTTTTTTTTGGTATCTTCCGTCAGTTGTTTCCATTGCTTACTCTATTTTGATTCTTTGCCGGTAGTGTGAAAACCTTCAAATATTCACCGAGGGGAAATCTCAGAGTTGAAATCGTCAGTGATGAAGACTTTTATAAAACTTATGGTCTTCCTTGTAAAACGTCTCCATGTCAATATTGAATTCTTGGACATCATCATGATTACAGTTTGATGTTGCAATTTAGAGAGCAAAGGTTTCAAATTTTGGCACTGGTCCACATCTCTTTAACTTTAAGCGCTATTCGGCTTGTATTTGTTCAAACAAATCGGTATTCGTGGACAATAAAATGCACGATGAATGGAGGGATCGATCAAAGGAGGATTTAGATGGTAGTTTTCATACGGTGTAAGCACAAATCGTCACCATTGTGTCAACTTTTAATGACTCTGAGGTTTTGCTATCGTCTCCATTGTTGTCCTACTTAACGCTTAATTTACGGGAATTTCCTTGCCGAGAAGATGAGACCCACTGTTTTCACTGTTTTTTGGTCATTAATAATGGATGGCTTGCGTGGTTATTAAATGGGATAAGCAACACTGACAGGTTGCTTGTCGGCTTGTCGGACTGGACAAGGAGTTAATTGCCTAGAAGCAACTTCTTCCCACCTCTCATTTAGTTCCAGTCTGCTTGTTCAGGGGTCCAGGATATTCATGCACTTCATGAAATCAGATGAAAGCTTCTTTTTTGTTTCCTATTTATAATGTTTCCGTATGAATCTTACCACTAAGTGATTTCCGTATAATAGGGGTTAATCATGCCTCTCGAAGAAGCGTAGAAGAACCGTGCTGTGGATGAGAATCCATTAATAGAATTTCTATTCTCGTTGCGGTTTCTTATCAATCTCTTGATGTGTATTCATCTCCGGATTCATTTCGTGCTCTATCGCCAAAATCTTATTCAACGCATATAATTCTTTGTCAATTGCTAAATGACTTTGTGAGCGACTATTTATAATAATGGTGTTTGAAGCATGGCAAGTTGGAGATGTCAAGCTCTCACGTAAGTGTAGTGAGTGGGGGATGACTAGAGTGCAAATCCTACGCTGCTACCATTTGTAAAACATCTTTCTTCCACCAGTAATAAGAGCATCCCGTTATCAAGGCATATGTTTCTTTTTGTTTACTGTTATAAAATAAGTGGAACTCGAAGTGGCTGAAGAACACCCTAAAACGTGATGTCTGTTTTCGCGTTAGTTTTCTGGTAGAAAATAACCTCCATTTATGTCATGAACGCATAACTTGGTCCGATACCAGTGGCGTCCGTCGCAACCCAAATTGCGATCTTATTTTATTGGAAGTCCTACATTTGCTATTATGGGCGTTCTGTTCACTGAAGCTGGTTTTGGACTTGTTAATCTAGCTTTTTCCTGCACGGGACTGCCAAGCTGGCGTTTTTTCGGCTTTCAGTGCAAACAATCGTCGACCGTTATCCCTTGCAGACAATAGGGACGTTTTCGTTCAACGACCATAGTTCCTCTTCCTTTTTGATAGGCATTCGTTTTGAAATGTGTGATTCCATAAATTTTCAACTTGGATAGCTTTTGGAGATGGAGTTAAGTGGGTTAAATTTTTGTGCATTCTCGCCGGACATCAGGGCGCACTAGTTTACCATGGTGAAGTGACACTTCATAGATTTTCTTTAGCATACGAACAAATGCAAAATAGAACATACAAACTGAGATATCTGCTTTCTTTATTATGAAATGTCTTTTTAGCGCACTTTCGATTGTCTTCACAATCAAAGAAATCTTCATTGTGCGTCCCAATTTATCCACCTGACATCTTTTGTGAATTTCTGTTTTTTTCTTGAACATTTGCATTAGAAATAATTGTTTTTAGAGTCCAATACACACTCGTCACTTGATTACGTGTTGTGGATTGCACTCGGATCACGTCGCAAAACTCACAGGATGTGATTCTAACCCTAAAATTGTTCCCTTTCGAGGAGAGTATTTGCTTCTCAAACCGGAAAAGCAGTATCTTGTCAAGTCCAACATTTATCCTGTAGGTTAAAGATCTTATTAATTCGTTGGACTACTCTTTTAGACATTCGATAGTAAACAAAGTGTTAGTGTTGTGGCAGTTCTAGGGCGTAATTACCTAACACAAAACCACAATGATGCTGAGAAATTTGCAAAACAGCCTTTATACCAGATTGGAGCTCACGATTACTCTTTCGGGGACTCACTTCTTATTCACTGCACCTCTGAAGCTTTCGTTGTATCTTTCTCTGAACCGGTTTTCTATCCAAACGGTACCATCAGCAATCACCCGTCAACGCAACGGGAATGATCTAGGAAGCACAAATCGGCACTAAACACAGTTAAGCTGAGGTTGCAGTCGAAAAGACAATGTATAGCGTTTTATTTACTGCTAATTATGGCCAAGAGAAAAGTGCCTTCAAAATAAAAGGCAATAGATAAAGAGTTATACATCGTTACAGTAAACCATTTATCATTCTGTGGGACAAGTTCAAGAGGGATTCAAAGCCTTTAATACCTTCCCCACTATAAACCTTGGGTATTTTTAACACCAGTAGGCAACTAAGACAAAAAGTCATGGCACTCATGTCCATAGACTAGTACAAAACTACGTCTACCTTGTGATCCTTGCCTCCAATGTGCTTAGGAGAATTAGGGTAGAAACGTATTCTTTACCAGTGAAGGAAATGGTGAACTGTATTTATGTACAAAATGGCACCAAGAATGACTTTCTAAAGTGTTCTTCCCTATGAGATATTGAACTAGATATGCTATGTAGACTTGCTCACCTAGTTCGTACCTAAGTGTATTTCAGTGGTTCTGAATGAGTGGGTGCTTATGTAGAATGCCAAGTTCCACAGAAAGTTTATCTATTTGTTCAAATGACTTTCACTTGCGTATCATGGTGATCCAATGTGGAAGTACCACACGACGTAGTCGCTGTGGCTTCCTCCTCAAAGACGATAAGTATCTTCCGTTGCATCCACAACATTTCCAACGTGAAAAAAATTTGATGAGACGCGGCAGATTCTGCTTGAAGCTGTTCATCAAAACAATTCTATAGGTATCGGAGTCGCTGGAATAGGTAGGAAACGATATGAACGTTTATGAAGAATTCATTAGTTTGTTATACGTAACTGGAACATTCGGAAATATTCATTCGCTTGAGCGTGAATGGGCATAGGAAACCAATTCGTTCCTCATGAACATCGTTTCTGTGAGATTTACTCGAAGGCTAATTTTTCCACAGGCTTTTCATAGGCCCATGGAAGTGAGTTAATGAGCTGATTAAAATATAGACTGTCGAGGAATTTCTACAAAATTTTGAAGTCTTCATTTGTTTAAAAACCAATGGATGGATATCACTTCTATTTCTGCCTTTTTCACAACAATTCGAAGAATTATTCTTCATTTCAGGTGCCCGTCCCAGGTCTGCCATTCCTTGGGGTTCATTTCACACCACGAATGAACGGTGACGTGTGGTTAGGTCCAAATGCGGTTCTAGCATGGAAACGAGAAGGATATAGTTATTTCTCAATTTCTCCGTCAGATCTTTGTGATTCTCTTACTTACAGGTTCGTCATCTGGATGCTTACTTGTTCACATGCAACTTTTGGAAGTGACATTAAACGCTCGGAAGATTTCCCTTCTTTAGAACCCTTGCGTAAATCTACCACTACGTTTTTTAGTGGTGTTCAGAAATTAATGTTCAAGTACTTCAAATATGGTGTGACGGAATTATATCGTGGCATATGGATCAACGCACAAGTGAAACAACTGCAACGATTCATACCGGAATTGAAGCCAAGCGACGTTACGAGGTGGGTGTTGGTTCAATGAATGCCGTCCTTTCTCCGCTTTGAAATTTTTGGCTCCTGATTACTTGCTGTGATGGTATGAGAGATCACTTGCTTTCTTATTTATGCACTATCTATTGATAACGTTGTCGTGCGTAATTATGGTACTGTACTGGTGTTTTCTTTTTGAGTTTATATCCTTCCAGAGGACCAACCGGTGTGCGTGCTCAAGCAATGGATCCTGAGGGTAATCTCGTTGATGATTTTGTTTTTGATAGCGGAAGTGGTCAAGTCAGTTTTATAATTTATTTTAAGTCCACTTTTCAATGGAATTTTTGTTTTCAAAATACCTTCGTAATCCGACGCTGATTCAGTTATCGCGGAAAGTGCTTCACGTTCGTAATGCTCCGTCTCCAGGCGCGACATCGAGTCTAGCCATTGCGAAAATGATCGCCAATGAGGCGAAATCGAGATTTGCTCTTTAGTTTTCTGGATATGTCCAAATTCATGCTTTAATCAAAAGTTTTTCCTTATTCTTGTTGATCTAAATGGTTGTTAGGATAGGTAAATTAGTTAAGTAGTTAAGGTAGATGTTAAGATTAATTTAAAACTTGCTGAAGCTGCGATAGAGAACACCTTTTCAGGGCCTAGAACGGTTATATTATGTTGTGTCCTATGCTATCTAGCTATTTAAGGAAAAAACCAAAGTTGCCTGCTGAGTACAAAAGCATAACTATGAAGATTTTAAAGTTAATGTTAAGATTACGCACTAGAAACATGATGTCACAGAATTGTTTTCGATTGATTCCAAAATTCCCAACTGCGAAATGTGAGCGAAATTCCTGATAAGGCGCAATGAATTTATATTGTAGACTATTTCTTTTGATCTAAGGCTGCTACTTCTTTTGGCATTCCATGGTCATTTACTCTCCCATTTCTCTTAAGGTGAGACGCACCATTCTAGGCTCTGGAGAAAATGTAAACCTCTAAATTGTCAGCCGTTGTAAAGTACATTGTTTTAACATCCTATATGCACTTGTCATGGAAGCAACTTAATTACCAATGATAGGTTAGTGAAGAATCATCAGAGAATTATTTATGTATATGATCTTATAAACTGATCTTCCTTAGCTGATGCGAAGTTGGTATAGGTCTTCGTTGTGGTTGTCGTTGTCGCTGTTGTTGTTGTAGGTGTTGTTGGTCGATGCCTGTTTCGGCGATTTCGCCTTCCTCAGAGCCTGGTCGTATTTTATATTAGAATACTTTAATTATTCGGTGGAAAAAGGTTAAAGTATTAATGAAGATCAAACTTTTAAATAGACGCCATATTGAACAGAAAGGCCACTCACCGTGATGTTACGAGGAGAACTGGTCCACGCGTTGTTCACGTGGGGTCGCGACCAAGACACACCCCGGGGTCAAAATAACATTTTGAGATAGGGCGCCTGATCACGCGTGATAGTGAGGCACTCGTCTTTCCGGTTCATCTTTGGATTTTTGAAATTTATCCAAAACGCCTCAAGAGTTATGCGCGTTGATGTTTTCGATTCCTGCGCTAAGATCGTCACAGTCACTCCAAAATCATCGCCGTTGTGCTTTTGTGCCTTATGCGTACCTAGAGGAGTGTTTTGACGAATTTTAGCTTTTCCATTTAGATGTTCTTTTATGCGGACACAAAGTGGTCTACCCGTTTTCCCAATATATTCCTCACCGCATGCGTTACATGAGATCAAGTATATTGTTCCTGAACTCATGCAATTTCCGTCTCTCCCGTTAGGGCAGATCATATAGTTTTCTGAGCTGCAGAAACGATCATAGAGACGGTTTCGAACTAACTGAAGGCGTAGGGTATTGGATGGGATGTCAGTAATCGTTACACAATTTTCAAGACCACTTTTTCTTAAGCGCCTCCTAATGGCGTGACTAACTTCATTTGACATGAAGGGTAGCTAAGGGGGATCTTACTTACCTAATCCTAAGAAATTCTATAATAACAATCTCGTGTATGCTTATTGAAGAAAAACATCGAGTTATCAATCAAGGCCGAGGTTAGAAGAAAGTCGGTCATGGGAATTGCTACGTGAGGTGCCAGCAGAATATTTCCGACTCGTAAAAGTAGTCATGTCACTAATACAAAGAATTGTCTTAGCTAGACAAACGATACTCTTTCTCCGCCGCTGCCTGAAACACTGAGTCGTGCCGAACTTTATCAAACGAGAAGGACTACACGATGCATGCGGCCTACCGAGGGACGGCCAACTAGTACTGAACATCGAAACGCGCCTCTCTTCGATGCAAGCAGGACACCATGTACGCGCAATTGAAGAAGCGCAAGTCGAAGGAATCTTATTGTGTTCAGTATTTGGAGGATTCCCTTTGGAGGAGAATAGTGGGCTCTGAAGAAAGCGAAACCACCGAAACGTCAGCTATTGTATTCCTAATAAATTCTATAATAACAACCTCGTGCCTGCTTATTGAAAAAAAGCATTGAATTATCAATCAATGCCGAGGTTAAAAGAAAGTCGGTCATGGGGATCTTACTTACGGCCGAATTATTATTTTGGGAAACTACCCTGCGTTTTTGTCTATCCCGAGTGGCTTCTTCTTCGTAGCCATTGGAAATGGCTATTTTTCGCGCCAAGTTTTGCGATTCCTTCCTTTCCTCTTCTTCTGTACACACATTTTTAGCCGTACGGTACATATTTTTGATAAGCGCTTTTTTCATGTGTGAAGGACGAGAAGAGAGGTAGTGAAGTGCTATGTTTTTACTACTTGGCTTACGATACCATTTTGTTATATAGCCACTTTCTGAGCGCTTTATTTGAGTGTTTAAGAATGGAAGCCAGTTCTCGGTAGGTTTTTCTCGTGTAAATTTTAAATACTCTGACTGTCGGTTTATCAATTCAAAGCACTCATCCACCTGTTCTTGTGTGGAACAGACGATGAAGCAGTCGTTTATGTATCCACAGTAGAGTAAGGGTCGGTGGTCGAGAACTGGAACTTCCACCTTAGACATGAAAGCGATGGCAAGGCTTGGTGCTAAACGCTGTCCCATGGCCAACTCTAATGTGTGCAAAATATTTTCCATACCACCTAAAGATTAAATAACTAAGACACTTTTAAGAGAGTCGTTAGTGGCGCGATCGACAATCCGCTCATTTCTGTTTTATTTTCGTGCTCTACGAGCAACTCAAGAATGGCTTGCATGCGGAGTAATTCGACACGTTGGTATAAAGTAAAGTAACATAGAATGACTTTATTTTTTCTACATCTAAATGGAAAGTTAAAATTCTTTTGTGCAGCTCAGAAAACTGTATGATCTGTCCTAATGGGATAGACGGGGATTGTATGAGTTCAGGTATAATATACTTGATCTCATGTAATGCAAGCGGCGAGGAATATATCGGGGAAACGGGTAGACCACTTTGTGTCCGCATAAAAGAACATCTAAATGGAAAAGCTAAAATTCGTCAAAACACTCCTCTAGGTACGCGTAAGGCACAAAAGCACAACGGCGATGATTTTGGAGTGACTGTGCCGATCTTAGCGCAGGAATCGAAAACATCAACGCGCATAACTCTTGAGGCGTTTTGGATAAGTTTCAAAAATCCAAAGATGAACCGGAAAGACGAGCGCCTCACTATCACGCGTGATCTGGCGCCCTATCTCAAAATGTTATTTTGACCCCGGGGTGTGTCTTGGTCGCGACCCCACGTGAACAGCGCGTGGACCAGTTCTCGTAACATCACGGTGAGTGGCCTTTCTGTTCAATATGGCGTCTATTTAAAAGTTTGATCTTCATTAATACTTTAGCCTTTTTCCACCGAATAATTAAAGTATTTTAATATAAAATACGTCCAGGTTCTGAGGAAGGCGAAATCGCCGAAACAGGCATCGACCAACAACACCTACAACAACGACAACGACAGCGAAGAACCTATACCAACCTCGCATCAGCCAAGGAAGATCAGTTTATAAGATTGTAGAAATAAATATATCAACTATCTATGCCGAGATTTATAGAAAGTCGGTTTTTTGAGTTATTTATCAGAGAATTACTCAACACTTCGCCATCTATATTTCATAAGGAGCTTAGTGGCTAGAGGAACCTTTGACACTTAAGTCTTAAACTTACACTACTATCTTAACACATTTGCTACAGTGCATCTTGGTTTCAATGCGCAAGCATTTGTTTTATCTGTTTTTGTACGCTCACTTGTTTCTGCATTCTCTGTGTTAAGTAAGTAGATTTCCTACTTTGTGTTGCATTATCCGAGAAAGGCTATTTTCGCACACTACAAAATTTTAGACACAGCAACCTCGAAGACTAGTTTGCCCATACCCAAAAGTCCCTTAGCGCCACTGTTCTGATTGTTGAGGAGATGTACAGATGTATTGTCAGTGATGAGGATGCATAGGTCATTACTTTTACGTTGAATACCTATATGAACTAAAAGAATTCGTTTCATCAATGTGTTTTCTTCCAGTCTTTGAAAACATTAAAGGTTCTCAGGAAAAATAGTTATATATACATTATGGAGAAGTGATGGGCAGCGAGCGAAGTGGTATTTTTCCGAAATAAGAAGAATAGGATTGCTCGCTTGTGTTCACAGGATGTTTAATTTGGTACCAGCTTCCGATAGTCTAAATTATTGTAAAAACGTCGTCCACTGTTGCCATTACAACAGTGTTCTTCTTATTTCCCATCTGAGCACGACGACATTGCTTCGATCCTTCTAGAGAGTCAGTTCCGTTTTCTTAGGCCATCAGTTGTTCTTTCTCAGGCTTCTGATGGATAACCGAGCTGTCGAGTTCTACTCCTTTCTAGACGTGCCACTAAAACAGATTTTTCGCTGTAGCAGTTTTATACACATCGATACCTGTACTAGCACATATGTTCTGCTTTATCCAGAAATCGTCCATGAACCTATTACTATCAAGCTCTCCATCTGAAGGGATGGACTGGTGATCTTCTTCATTTCTTCAATAGTTATTTGTTCGCACAACTTTTCCACCACTTGCTTATATCTGTTCGATTTTTTCGCAGTTAAATACTGTCACTTTTCTTTTCTCTCCAGTCAGCATTAGTTACGTTCATCTGAAGAATATTTCGGAATACCGAAAAGTGCTCTGCCATGCAGAACCGACCACCAAAGGCTGACAGCACCGTGAACGAGTCTTCCCATTATGCACAGAAAGTGAAAACGTATGGGAAAGTATACAAAAGGATGTGGTGGATACGAAGAAAATAAAATATAGAGGTCACTAAAAGCAGGAAAATCGAATAAATACACGAAATTCCAGAAGAAGGACTTGGTCGCTTTGGGGATAAAATTTTGGACCGTGTGTACTGAAGTCAATATCTATTGCGCGTGAAGAAATATCGGCGTCGTTGCGAATATGTTAACATACTTATCTGATGGCAGTTTGCTGACTGATTCGAACATTATCTCACATAGCTCAGAGATTCTAATCTTCTTATATA